AAAATATATCTCTGTGGATTTAAAATAATTAAATCTACACAGCTGCCAGGAAGCAAATAATAGTAGAATTGGGAGGATGTTTGTTTGTTTCTCTGTTTGTTTGTTTGTTTGTTTGTTTGTTTAGTCTAGAGAAAAATCAGCGGGGATCGCGCCACATACTGGCCTAGATTAAATAAGATGAAGTACTTTGAAGTTCAGTGTATAATTAAATCACTAACATGTTGTGTGTCTCTGGGGATCACACTCAGTCTTATTCAGGTCTTCAGGCATAGCCAGTTGTGCATAGCAGTCATATTTTGTTAATTTGGGGTTTGGGGTTGGCACAGGGATTTGCAAACACCTTAGAGGGGGCAATCCCTGTTTTTTAAAACCCAATCAGCCTTGTGCAGGCAAAACAGAAACATCAGGATTTCCCTGGATTTTGCTACTGATTTAGACTGCCGGAGTTTCAGTGGACAGTTGTGGTGTCACAAAATTTGAGAATAGCAATGAAAATATACATTAAAATTCAATTACTAAAACATTTAATCTCTTTCAAACCCTAACTCCAATAAGTGTTACACAAATTTATCCATTATTTTAGACCTTACTATAAAAAAAAAGTTTGAGAGTCCCTGGTTTAGCCTATTGTCTGAACCCAACCATTTAGTGACTTGAGTTCCCAGTTGCCAGCTCTAGATTTCAGGGATAGCCCTGGTTGGCCGTCTTTTTGAAATCTTGGCTTGCAGGGTGCTTAAACCATGAGACCATACTTCACAGCTGAAAATCTTTCTCCTTTAACAACAAATTACGGAATCATAGCCATCTGCAGGAGGCATGGTTACGTGCAGTGGTAGGATTCAATTGGTGCAACAACCGGTTGGCTTTGTGTGTGCGCACATTGCATTTGAAACCAGCACTAAATCTTCCCTTTTCCTGAAACCCTGGTGAGTAAAATCCGCTCTGCTGCACCGATCAGCTGGGCTTCAAACACAGGAAATATAGGACGGAATAGAGCAGGAGCGGGTGGGCAGGGCCAAAGGATCGCCAGAACGACTAGTTCACCCGAACCGGTCCAAACCGGCTAAATTCCACCCCTGGTTGCGTGAGAATGATGGAACTTGCATGATGAAATCATGATGCAAATCTCATCATTGCACATTTATGTCCCGATGCCTAAAGTATACAAGTCATGTGCCAGGATCCACATTTTATCACTTGTGTTAGGGGTATCTCCGTTGGGAGATAGAAAGTAGCACCGCGGAATGTATAGCGAGAGAGAAGGAACGTTGCTAGTAGAAGAAACACACGAATAGAGTCTC